TAGTTGATATTTGACAGTATAGCTACTATCTCGATGCATAGCAGGCCGTGAGCTTGCGTAATCTGAGAAAATAATAGAACACATAAAGTTATTTTCCCAAAGTTATGAAACAAAAACTACACATGAAACACTATTAGAGGCATCAAGAAAATAAATACAAAATCTAAGAATGATATATCTACCAATACGATATATCGGGTAATACCAACATATAGAAAGCAGTAAAAACAAGACTACGTAACATTATAATATTGATAAAGCAAAACGATTGAGAAAGCAATAGAATTGTAGCCTAATGCATTCTTTTCATTGTTAAGGTTCTTTTATATAGGTGCTTTTCTATTTTAAGTAGGGTTTTATTTGTTTCCTTGATTATTAGTAGGAGTGTTATTGTACCGATTTTATAGGAATGAGTTTTTAAAATCTATATAGTAATAATGATGTAAGGAAATAATTACGCCTGCTTTTATTTGTTTCCTTGGATTATAAATAGAAGTGTTATTGTACCGATTTCATAGGAATAAGTTTTAAAATCTGATATAGTTATTTTGATGTAAGGAAATAATTAAGTCTTTAAAATTAATTGATTTACAATACACACCGTAATAAATAAAAAATTTAAAGAATCCCTAAAACTAAGGGGGGAAAAGACCAAAGGAAAAAAAGTCTGTAATGAAAGAATCCCAATCAATGTAAATTCTAAAGAATCCTAAACCTAAAAGCAAACACAAGGCAATTTTGAGTTTTGCCCACAAAAAAATAGTGATTACAATTACAAGTATATCCAACATATAATGCACTTATAAAGGGTAAAAAAGACGTACGACATTTCGATAGGGCCTTCGTGCTTTTAATATAATATAGATATTATTTTTCTATATATTAAATAATTTTTAATTTTAGTCTCTCATTATTTACCATATAATTAGAATTAAGTTGTTGTAAATACTAAATGAAGTAAAATAGTTCTTAAAAGAAATTTCTTATTTGATGTTAAAAATTGTTTTGTTAGCCATGAATACAATTAGAATGTCATTAGGATGTCACATAATTACGGAAACTATGAACGTCTACAACTTTTGTACTAACATGCCAAATTATTGACTTTTTAAACATTTAGTTAAGGTAAAATTTTAATCAATTTTGAAGTCCTAAATTTTATTAAATAAGGAAAGATTTAATAACCAATTTAATTTTCATGTCCTAAATATTAGGAAATGCTTAATTGACCATTTTATCTAGTGTGAACCCTATTTTTAAAGGGTAAAAATGGTGAATAACATTTCGATAAGGGCGCATTGATACTTTTAATATAGTATAGAGTATAGATATAGATATAGATAGATAGATAATTTAATGTAAAAGATGAGGTTTGTGTTCAAAATCATAAAACTGTTTAAATGAGCAAAACCGAAATTGGTAGTAAGTAGTAACCAAGGTCGCGCTAATTAACTTTATTTTTTTCAAAACGAGTTAAATTGAGTCTAATTAAAATACGAGCAACTCACGTCAAGCTCGACCTATGTTCATGCAGATCACAATATTACGTGATTCAAAATTTTAGTTTGATGAGTTCGATCTTTAATATTTTTTATTTTATAATTAAAAAAATTCTATTTACCAAGTATACGTACAATGCAAGAATTTTTAAGCTTTTTTTAATTTTTTTTTAGTGTTTGACAAAGTCAAGAAGTGTTTAAAATAAGTTAAAACTGCTTAAAACAAGTCAAAAGCAATAAGTTGAGCAACCCCAACTTATTGCTTTTGGCTTAAAAGCTATTTATGTTGAAAAGTCACTTTTTTGTTTTTAATCAATCCAAACGGGCTCATAGCCTCAACTAAAATGATTCTATTCTCGGTCTTTAATGTTATTAACTCTAAATTTATTATACTTTTAAAGTTATGAGTTTAAAATTATAATATTGATTGAAATTGTATTATTCTTCACATACATATCAATATTCCATATCAAAAGGTCGTGGGTTCGACTCCTACTGTGGTCGGAGTTTCTCTTATGACAAGTGAGACTTGCTCAGTTGGTAAAACACCTTCACCCACGACCGTTAGGTCCTAAGTTCGAGTCACGTTGGAAGGGAAGTGTGAAAACACTATAGATACTCTTAATTTGGGAGGAAAAAAAACGCACTAAATTGAGTTGAACCCATAGTAATAAAGCTACATCCCACTTCACTATTGCAAAAACTTCAAAAAAAAAAGAAGGAAAGTACAAAGGTGTAACAACTAAACTCTAGGGGTTGGAGATTGAACCGGCCGTTTAACTGAAGTTACTGAACCGCAAAACCGATTAAAATAACCCGCGGATAACATTTCCCCCAATTTGCTTCTCTCCTAATTGTAAACCCTCACAATTTCCCAATTCGGAATCCTNTCTTACGTTACGTTTATTCTTTTCACAACCCTATATATTGAATAGTAAAATACTGAGAATTTTGCAGAAATTGTTTCGAGTATTTATCAAAAGCTCGTCATTTTTTTCTCTATTTGCATCCTTAGTTAGTTCTCGTGACGTTGTTTGGTCATTTTTTAATTATTATTGTCGTAGTTTCAGTAGTTACTAGTATTTGTTTGATCAAATGATAACTGATATGGTAAAAAAATGGTTCTTTCTTTTTCTTTTTCCTTTTGAATTGAGGAGTTTTCAGCTGTTTTATTGTGTTTCTCAGGTGGTACATTGATAGGGTTCTGATTAGCAGAAGCAAACCAAATATGCAATAGAATACTACGGAAGAATGAGAGAGAATATAATAAGTAAATTCAAACAAATATTAAAGAACTACCAATTAATTAATACGTCAAATTGGTACTCCCTCCAGTTCACAATAAGTGATTTTTTTGTGGTCCAAAATAAGTTATTTTTTCAGATTTCAAGAATGAATTAAATATTTTTTTCCTACATTGCGCTTGGAGTGAATAATGTTGGAGGTGGATTTTTTAATCTGTATGAAAACATCTAAAAAATCACTTATTGTGGACCGGAGGAGTATCAAGAAGAAGAATTAGAGAGAAAGGGGCAAATTGTATTCACTTTCATAATAATGCCATACAATGTAATTGCTCATAGCTTTATACTTCTAGTTGAGCCTCAGATCATGTGTAGTAAGCGGAAACTGGAAAAAAAAATGAATTTGGAAATTAAACTAAAAAGAGAGAAAAATGCCAACTAACTTCTTCACAAACTTTCCTGCCATTTTAGTACCAACTCAATTAAGCTAAGTCGACTTAGTCCACTTATTCTGTATCATTTATATTTCAAACAAGATATGATTGGAAAGAAGACAGATATAGTCAATCTAGAGAAAGAAAATAACAGGAGGGAAAAGAGATGAACTCATACAAGAAATCTTACCCTAAAGGTTCAAGTTGAAGTTCAAGACAGAGAACTTGAGATCAATCCATACGCTTAGAAGTGTCAAATTGGGGTATAGCCTATCAAAAGTATCAGATCTTATCAAAAGTTCTGAAAAACGAGTCTAATAGTTATATTTATACTAGGGCTAAAATTGGGAAAAAGACCAAATGTACCTAAAAGTAATAGCTGCATTAAGTCCCATATGATTGCATGAACCTAGCACAAGCTGCTGTAATTCCTGTGGGATCACAAGGACTTAGAATGAACTTGCAAGTTATTGTAGTTCCCGCTATCTTCATGCGACTACATGATTGTTGAAATCTTGGAGCTTCATTTCCCTTGCTCTTTCTCCATCCCTTTATGGCCACAAGTTGACTATGAGCTGCTCCTTGGGTCGAAGCTGACTCTGAATCATCTTCCAACGATGCCACAAGCACATTAAAATGCTTTATAAGCATTTTCAAGAAAAATGCACTTATTAACGTCCATTGTAGCCCAGCTAACACCTGAAGCTTTTTACCATGCGACCTAGCCGTAGAACGTTGGGGTGACTCCTTACTAGTTTTCCCATGCACTTGTGGGGCTCCTTAGGATGCTATCATAGGCCATCGGTCGCATTATTGATAGTGTTTGACTGTTGACGGAGTTTAATATGTCAATTTGACATATATATTATGTAGTGATATAGAAAGGAAATATTAAAGTATTGGTTGAAATGATCAAGTATTAGCTAGTAGCTTGTTGAATTTGAATTATTGTAATTTGTGAAAATTATATGGAAATGGAATGGTGTCAAACACTTTGGAATATCTCAAAATGGAGGATTGTCACTTAAATTGGTCTGATGGAGTATTATATACCTCCAGAATTTACAATTCCACAGTAATCAACTTACCCACCTTAGGAAACATGCATGTTTCTTCCAACTTATGAAGTTTGATCTCTTCACGTAGAGAATAGTCATCCACAAGTGGATTAATGGTAAAGCAGGCCCATTTTGATCTTTGAGCGGCAAAACTGTGAGTAACTATTGTGGTTATTTTTCTGAAAACAAGTCTCAGTTAGCTGGAAGATAATAGCAGGACAAACTGTCATTATTTTTTGGCACTTTTATGGTGTCAAGGCAGAAGGTTGAAAATAGATTGCATATTTTTTTTTTTGTAGTGTTTTAGTTTAGGATGTTCTGTTAGAGTTTAATAATTTATAGAAATGACTGGTAGAAATGTGTACTTTGGTAAGTTTCTATTTTTATTATTTATAAAGTATAAGGAGTGTACTTTGGTAAGTTCTATCCACTTGACATGGCCCTGTAGTTTAGTGTTTGCTCCCTGGGTATCTGGTTATTTGGTTTTCATCTAAACATCTTTCTATTCATAAGGGTATGAGGATAGTAATAAAACTGAATTGAGGGATTTTTCCCCTACTTAAGCTTTTAGACAAATCCTTATTCTCCCTACTTATGTAAGAAGCCAGATGGACGGGAGACATTTATAACGAAGCAATAGACAACCTAAATGTTCCATAATCAGTTGAAATCAAATGAACTATTGTTCTACCAGGCCACTGTAATTTAACCTCATTTCTGGCAACCCCCCCCAACNTATATTTTTCTTTTCTTTTTCCCTGCTCGTTCTTTTTTATCTTGTAACTAGTAGCTATTCTTTTCTTATAACACATGGATGAAGTATGCACAATTTGCTTTGATTACTGATGCAAAGCTTATCTTGTTAGTTTCCCCAAGAATGCTTGTTTTTAGTGAAAATAAGGAAATGATTGCATGGTCCTAAAAGTATTGTTTCAGGCTAATTGAATCATTCATATATTCAATATATGAACTATTTTACATGTTAAATGGATTAAACTTTTTTTTTTTGTTATTTAGTGGATTAACTTAAAAGTTTGAATTTTGGAAGTCTCTTCTGCTCTTTCATATGTGTGAGCTCACCCCCCCTCCTCCTCTCTCTTGGTGGGATGGCAAAGGATGTTGTTCTTGCTGTAGTTTATTACGATGTGTTTCATTGCTAAAGTTGTTCATTAACATATCTTTTTTGCCTTTTCTAGTATTTCACCCGGCGTTCCGAAGATGCTACAGAATGCTCTGCACCAACTTTTGCAATCGCCGGCCCGGCTTGGCCTGCCAACTCCCAGTTCACCTTCTGTTCAGAACCCAAGCCCTCCTCCTAAGTTCTCCTCACAAGTGTCGCAACCTCATCACGATGTGTTTCATTGCTAAAGTTGTTCATTAACATATCTTTTTTGCCTTTTCTAGTATTTCACCCGGCGTTCCGAAGATGCTACAGAATGCTCCGCACCAACTTTTGCAATCGCCGGCCCGGCTTGGCCTGCCAACTCCCAGTTCACCTTCTGTTCAGAACCCAAGCCCTCCTCCTAAGTTCTCCTCACAAGTGTCGCAACCTCATCAACCCCTTCAACAGTCAAATATGTTAACTACTACTACCACCTCTTCGGCACTCCTTCCTCTTCTCCCACCTCTCTCCAGAGCTCAGTCTCTTCTCATTCAAATGGCATCTCTTGCTTCAAGACTCTTTGAAGTCTCACCTAACCGGTCCCATTGGCTTGGTGCTTTTCGAGGCTCTTTCCCTTCATTTCTGCCTTCTGGGACGCCGGTTCCACAAGATTCCTTCCCTTCATCGTCAAAAGAAATCCTCTCTGTGTTTACTTCTCTTCAGACACAGCTGTTTGAAGCAGTTGCAGAACTGCAAGAAATTCTTGATCTTCAAGATGAGAAGCAAAAAGTCATCCGCGAAATTAGGTCAAAAGATTCTTCAATTCTTGCTTTTGCCAACAAACTTAAAGAAGCTGAGCGTGTTCTTGACATGCTTGTTGATGATTACTCTGATTATCGTCGTCCCAAACGGGCCAAGTTGGAAAATGATACCGAAGAATCTTCAGTAACAACTGTGGCGACTCAGTTGAAATTATCGGACATATTGTCATATGCTCATAGGATAAGCTACACTACTTTTGCACCACCTGAATTTGGTACTGGACAGGCTCCTCTTCGGGGAGCACTCCCTCCGGCTCCACAGGACGAGCAAATGCGGGCATCTCAATTATATAATTTTTCTGATCTTGATGTGGGTTTACCAAAAACAGATGATGGCAAAGAGACAATTATTGAGCCACTCCTTGAACCTCCTGCAGAAACTAACCCGCTTGCCAATATTCAGGGCCTCATTACTCCAAATATTGTAGTGCCATTTGGATGGAAACCTGGTATGCCTATCGAGTTGCCCACTGACCTCCCACTTCCTCCACCTGGGTGGAAGCCTGGCGATCCAATAGCACTGCCTCCGTTTGATTCTCTTCCACTTCCTCCAAAGGTCGAGGAAGCACCAGCACGACCAGTACCTCCCCCAGGACTGCCAAGAATGCCCGAACCAATACAGGTTCGGCATGTGCAGCTTGATATTGAGGATGATAGTAGCGATTACAGTTCTGATGAGGCCAGCTCTGATAGTGAAGATTGATCTGGTTAGCTGTTTTGAGTAGCTAATACAGGTTCGGCATGTGCAGCTTGATATCAAGGATGATAATAGTGATTATAGTTCTAATGAAGCCAGCTCTGTTAGTGAAGAGTGAAGTGGTTAGCTGTTTTACGTAAATACTCTAGGAAAATCATGATGCTATGCCGAAACACGAGGTTAACCCTTTTATTTGATATCCACCAATCTCACCTCTATGAAGTGTTGGAATCTCAAGCTTTTGGCATGATCCATTTAGAAACGCTAACCTTTATGTGCTGAAAGTGAGTTTGAAATTCTGTATCTCATGGCTTGGCATAATTGTTTGATATGTATATATTTTGGCCATGTTGTATCCATGGTTCCTGCTCATGCATTGGTGTTATTAGACAACTATGTAACAGGTAACTGTAACTCTTGTGTGCAGATAATTCTTTTTGTTATTCACGAGAACCTTTAGCGCGTTGATAGGTTTCTATATTTCTTATTTTATGATCATTCATAAGAACATATGTTGTTATTTTAGACAAGATACTGACTTCACAGTCAAAAACTTCTCAAAGTAGCTTGGAGTTGCACTGGAGGAACTTTTTCTTTTTTATTCTAAAAACTCATGTACTAAACCATTTGATTTAATTATTGGTATAAGTCAGATGGGGAATTACAGGCTATTTGCTGGGTTTTCTCTGCCCAAATTTTGATGTCCAGCTTTCTTTTAACTGTAGTAACTTTTTTATTTCAAAAGAAGTATGCAATAGAAAGGATTTTATGGAGTAACTTTGTTATATGGATTGACGACTTAAATGGATGAGAAAAAATCGCCTAATGTGTTTTTTTTTTGGGATTTGAAGCCTGATCTTTCATGGTTCCTGTCTGATGTCATTGACTGCTATGTCACACCTTTGGCTGCTTAGTTATCCCGTATCTATCATTGCATTCAATCTGCCTAATTAGTTATTAACATAGATGTTAAGTGTTATTTGTTCTTCTGCACTATTTGCTGCAGTTTAGGGATTGGAAACTCATTTACAGTCCTGAAGTTGAAAGCACTATCAAATAAGAAGACTATAATTTCTTACTTTGAGTTGCCTTCTTAATTTTGGTTTTTGATTTCTGTGATGCAAGGTGGGTTGCTCTAATGGTAACCACCCTTCACTTCCAACCAAGAGGTTGTGAGTTCGAGTCACCCCAAGAGCAAGGTGGAGAGTTCTTGGAGGGAAGGATACCGAGTTTCTATTGAAAACAACCTCTCTACCCCAAGGTAGGGGTAAGGTTTATTATTTAAATATGTATCTCCTCAGACCCTACTAGTGGGATTATACTGGATTGTTGTTGTTGATTTCTGTGATGCAATGCTCATTTGCTGTCTTTTCTTTTTTCTTTTTTCTTTTTTCATCCTCGCAACAGAGTTGAAGTGCCAGGAAAACCATTTATTTGTTTGTATAAATATATTTTGTTAAAAAAAATATTAGGAGGAAATACTGTTTGAGAAATAGCTGCAGAAAAATCTTAGGGTATCTATTATCTATTACTATATTAAAAGCACGAAGGCCTTAGCAAACGAGCATTGCATCACTAAAATAGTAATTTAGTTATTTCCTAAATTTAAGGAATTTAAAATTAGCTAAAATTTTGATTATTAAATCTTTTCTTATTTAAATATGTATCTCTTTGTATAATGATATTAAATGCACTAAATCTCCTTTGATAAATAAACTACTTATATCTAGGAGTTTGAGATCATTAATGAATTTGCCACCTTTATTCTCAAACAAAAGTCTTTGTGAATGAAAACAAGTTTAAAGCCTACGAACACCAAAGTACTTCTAAAAATCCTACCAAATCTGGTGGCTTTGTGTTCACCTAAATACAAAATTCACCATTAGGAAAACTTTTTCTTTTTCCATTGATTCCACCAAATGACTCGATGTAATTTTACATATATTAAGTTATTTGTATCGATTTATAAGTCTTTGAGAATTTGTGATAAAAGCATATGGAGTAACAAAATATCCACAATTTTAGATTTAATATTAGGTCACACAAATAATAATATTTTTCAAAAGATATAGTTAAAGGATATTCTTTTTAAATTCACACAAAATCGTTAAATCAAATCCTTATGTAAAATTGAACGATCTTTTAACCTTAAAAACAAGCACTCATTCTATAATATTTGTGTACAAAAAAATAAGTACATATTATACTCTTTAATTCAATATCAAATTCTAGAAATAATTAATTAATAAAAGGACACTTAACAATTGCACATGATACATCCAATTTTAGAGGAGAAAAGATATTTATTATTACATCCTTATCATTTAATTTATGTATATCAAGTATATTCTATTAATTAATTCCAAATAAAGAAGAATCGGATAACTTCAATAACGTAATCGGAGGCACCAAAATCGGAAGTCCAAAATCGTCACCATTTAATTTTGAACGTTACTAAACAATAAATGGAACTATAAATTGCGCGTCAATCGGTAATTGTATACTTATTACCATTATTTAAATTTCCCCTTATATTCCGAAGTTTTTAATTAATTAAATATGCATTAAATCCTTCACTATTTGAATTGTATATAAATTTTTAATATTACATATATTATATGAATTCTTTTTCATATTTAAATCATGTAAATTTTTTTTTATAACTTAAATATAATTTTAATATAATATTTATATAATTATTTTAATATATTTACTCATCGAGATGGGTACACGCGCAAAGCGTGTACCCTAAGACTAGTGGTTATATAAAAAGAAATAATTTATATTGTAATATGTTTTCTAAAATTTTATGGATATATTTTTATTAGTAATTTATCTAGCAATTTTCGTTTAAATAAGTAACAAATTATTCAGATGTGTATTTAGATGTGTATAAGACTTAATAAGTACTCTGTGTACTCGTGTCTCTATTGTCATATGTTTTTCACAAGAATAGCTGTAATGTGATGACACTACGAGCTTGAGAATATGACTTCTTTTCCCTTCGTGAACTCCACTTGTGAGCAGGGGCGGATCCAAAGTTTAAATTATATGGGTTCATCTTTTAAGATTTTTAGCATTGAACCGATTGTGTTTTTAAAGTTATGGGTTCGTATCTATTAATTTTATAATTTTAATAAATTTTTACATATAAATTTTTACTTTGCGTCAAAAGTTATGGGTTCAATTGAACCCGTCATTAATACACTACCTACGCTCGTGCTTATGAGTCCAGTTGGTATGGTATCATTTTCTCATTTTATGTTGGATAGACTGGCTATGGCTCAAATATATATATTTTTTTAATGTTTCTAGAAGTTTTATGATTTTTGTTAACACTCTCTATCTGCACGCGATAAGCAAGGCCGGTCTAATGGCCAAGCAAGTAAAGTCGTTGCTCAGGGGCCCTTATTTGTAGGTGCCCCAAAGTTTTCTAATAGTTAATGTATTTGTCCATTTTTTTAAACAATATTAAGTATTTGAAAAAAAAATACAAAGTTTCAAGGAAATGAGACTTTGGAGAACAATTGGAAAATGAATATATTTTGGGGATTCCTCCCTTACACGTGAACATTCCATTATCTTGTCTCAATTTATGTACCATTATTATTATAAATGGGCCCACATTCTTTTTATCTTTTTTTATCTTTCTCTGCAAAGCCTTTTTACATTCCAATCTCATTGAGTTACTATTACAAAATAAAAGGACAGAACACAAGTACCATCTGTTTGATTTGTTCTCAAATATTTTGACGTTACATCAAGAATTTTGAAGTAGCAAAAGCTTATCAAATTATCTATTTGTTGTCTTGTTGAATCATGTTTGATTGTTTTATATTTTATTATTTGCATCTACTTTTTAAATTTTTTGAATATATTTTCTTTGTAAGTATATATTGTCATTAGAGTTTTAATATGTCAACTAGAAAATATGAATTCGGATGTTCAAAACGTCAAAAAAGAAAAAGGATTGAAACTCTAATACAATCCCAAAAAGGAGCACTTGATAAATTTGTAGCGAATAGTAAAAATTCTAAATCAGAAAATGTGAAAGATTTTATGATAGTTGAACAAATCACTAATATAATTAAGATAGACAATAATAAAATTCAAGAAGAAGAGGAAGGAGGAGAAGTTGTCGATAAACCTAACATATATCCTCAAGAAAAATAAGAAGTTCTAAATAAGTTGGATAATTATACTCCTAGGAACATATATGATCCTAGTCAATGGATTAGTATAGATACAAAGTGGAGGGATCTATTAGTAGAAAATGGGCCAATTAAAATTACTAACATAGATTTTCCAAAGGATAAATTCTTTAGATAATTTTCTACCACAAATTATATTCAAAAATTGGCTAATGGAGAAAAACATGAAAGAAGATGGTTAGTTTACTCTAAAGATTTGGATAAGGTATTTTATTTTTGTTGTAAGTTGTTTAATACAGCTTCTAGCTTTTGTAGCAGTAAATTAGCTAGTGATGGTAGTAATGATTGGAGAAATATAAGTGCTAAGCTCAAAGCTCATGAAATATCAAAAGAGCATATTATTAATATGGCTGCATGGATTGATTTAGAAATGAGATTGCACAAAAGTAAAACAATTGATAAAGATGTTCAAGAATAAATCAATAGAGATAGAGAGCACCGAAAAAATATATTATCAAGAATTATTGTTGTGATAAAAACTCTTGGAAAAAATAATTTGGCATTTAGGGGAAAAAATAAAAAGATCAATCAAGAAAGTAACCGAAATTTTTTGAGTCTAATTGAAATGATTACAGAATTTGATCCAATCATGGGAAAACATGTTCGCCGAATTAAGCATGATGAAATCCATAATCATTACCTTGGACATAATATACAAAATAAATTGATAAATTTATTAGCTAGTGAAATTAAGAATAAAATTATTGACAAAATTATAGAAACAAAATACTTCTCAATCATACTTGATTGTACTCCAGATGTAAGTCATCAAGAACAAATGTCTTTTATATTACAGATTGTCGACATCACTGTAACTCCAGTAAGAATTACTGAATATTTTTTAGAGTTTTTAAAAGTTGATGATACAAGTGGAAAAGGTCTTTTTGAAGTTAATGTAGATGAGATAAAAAATATTGGATTTGATATTGATAATTTAAGAGGACAAGGATATGATAATGGATCCAATATGAAGGAAAAACACCAAGGAGTGTAAAAAAGACTACTCGACATAAATCCTAGATCATTTTATATACCATGTGGTTGTCATAATCTAAATTTGTTACTTTGTGATATAGCTAATTCTTGTACCAAAGCTATATCATTTTTTGGAGTAGTACAACACATATATTCACTATTTTCTTCTTCTACTCAGCGATGTAAAATTTTAAAAGATAATGTACCCAGCCTAAATCTTAAATCATTATCACAAACGCGTTGGGAAAGTTGTATTGAAAGTATTAAAGCAATACGTTTTCAAAATCCACAAAAAATAAATGCTTTATTGAAATTAGTAGAAGTTAGTGAGGATCCAAAAACTAAAAGCGAAACTAGTGGTTTAGCAACTTACGAGTTTGAAAATTTTGAGTTTTTACTAAGTATGACTGTCACGACCCAAAATCCCAACTTGTCGTAATGGCGCCTATATCGATACTAGGCAAGTCGATAATCT